GGCAGACCTGGAGGCTGGAGGAGGGCAGTGACTGGGCCCTGGGCAGTGGAAGTTGAAGTGGACAGAGCCCCAGGGTCCAAGGAGCAGGCGCTGAGCCAGGCACTGGGCATGTTCCAGGCCTAAGACACAGCATGGGGTCTGCTTTTGGGGCTTCTCCATTTACCTTGGGGCCCTGGATTCCTGGGAGGCCCTGGAAGAGGAAAGAGGAGGTCAGATGGCACCTGGCTAGCTATAGACTCAGGGCTGGGCCCTCTTGCTGCAGCCTCGATGGCCTCAGGCCACTCACTGGCCCTGGCCCTGGCCGCCTGAAGACCCCTGTCCTGCCCAGATGCCACCTTCCCGGGCTCCCAGCCTCCTTATGCCAAGCCGTCCTTACCTGGGGGCCGGGGGGCCCTGGCGGCCCTGGGGGCCCTGGTTCCGCTATGATCTGGGCCTGGAAGGAGAAGAGGGTTAGCCACCCCTGCTGCCCTTCCTTGGCGGCTCTGCCCTGAGCTGTGGGCTGGCAGAGCTCTGGGGTTGAGGTTCCTGCCCCTGGCATAGCCTGTGAGGGACTTGACAGCTGATTCTGCTTCTCCACTGGCCTCCAGGGGACACAGCCCCCCCATCCCAGGGCCAGGACTTTTCTGCCCCAGCACCCCCTTACCAGGCTCTCCTGCAGGCTCTCAGGTGCTGAGTCTCCCTTCTCTCCCTTGGGGCCGTCGGCACCCTGCGGATGGTGGTCTGTGAGCCCCTCCCGCCCACCTTACACGGTCCCACAGTCTTTCCTTCCTCCCACGCAGGGAGTGAGGAGCTGGCCTGGCTGTGCAGAGACACCATACAGACGGACCTGTGTGCAGCGAGGGACTGGGGCTCAGACCCAGGGTCAAACCCCAGAGCCACTGCCAGCCAAACGGCCCTCAGGGTGGACAGTGGCTGTTTAACACCCAGCCACTCTTCCTCCCTGGCCATGACAAGAGCAGCAGTGAAAAAGACCATGGTGACAGCAGGCTCACTGTGGGCCAGGCCAGCTACCCACACTTAGCCCTATCTATGCCTTCTCTCCTGAGGAAAGTTATCATCCCTATTCTATTTTCTTACTTGGTTTTTTGAGACAGGGTCTCACTGTGTGGTCCAGGCTGGCCTTGAACTCAGTGAAATCCTCCTGCCTCAGCTTCCCGAGTGCTGGGATTACAGGTGTGCACCACCACACCTGACTCACCGTTTTATCAGTGAGAAAACCAAGGCTAGAGGAGGTCAGGACACTGCCTTGGGTTCCAGGGTCAGGAAGCGCCGGAGCTGGTACAAACCCAGGTAGCTCAGGCTGGAGCAGAGTCTGACCACAGGTCACCTCACTGCCACCCAGCTGCATCTCTGTGTGGGCCCCGTTGCCTCATGGGTGCAGTCTCACAGAAGAGGGTGGACTTAGGCCAGGAAGCCCAGGTGTCTCCTTGCCGGTGTGCCCTGTCCTTCCCTGCGGGCTTCCCCACCCTGCCCAGAGCCTGTCGGCCGCCCTGCGGTGGGTACGCATTCACAGCAGGCCCCCAACTGCAGCAAGGGCAGCCCAGCCCTGACACCTACCGGAAGGCCAGATAGGCCCATCTCGCCTGCTTCCCCTTTGGGCCCAGCCGGCCCGGGCTCTCCTGGGTCTCCTTTCTGTCCTTTGGGACCCTGAAGGCCATAAGATCACAGAATCAGTGGGGCTCATGAGAGCCTTGCCCTCTGGTGGGTTCTGAGCTCAGATGAGGCCAGACCAGAGCCCCCCTGCTGTGGGCTCCCCACCTCTGGCCCAGGTAGTTGGGAGCCCCGGATGAAAGCAGTGGGGCAGCTGGGACTAGCTGGGGACAGGGCAGCCCGCTCCCGGCCCTGGGCTTGGGATGCACCAGCACCACCATGGAAGTCAGAAGCCCACAGACCTTCTCTCCATCGATTCCTGGGGCACCCGGCAATCCGAGCTCACCCTGCGGGGGAACAGGTGGTAGGTAAGACTGACTTGTGCGCCGCTCAGCCCCAAGATGGGCGGTGGCCTGAGGGAGGGCCTGGCTGGCCCTGACCAGTCTTCCCAGGCAGGGTCAGAGCCACCCAGGAAGGCACCCTGGCTGCCACCACTCTCCCTTTGCTGAGCTGTGAGGGCCCTGGCAGCACGGTTGTTAGGTGACAGCTCTGGACACTAAGGCCCCAGGCCGCCGAGCTGGAACAGTGAAGCCAGGATGGGACTCTGCGGATCTCAATGTCCTCAGCTTTTCTCTACACCGTCGGGAGGGCGTGAGGCACAGGCACAGCCCCCAGGGCTGGCCAGGCTGTGCGAGGGAGGATGGCAAGTTCAGTGTGTGAGGGAGGCTTCACGGGGTGCGAGGGGTGCCGGGGCCTGGAGAAGGCACCTGGTTTGGTTAGAATGGGGCCCCCAGGACTCCGGCTGACACAGGAGGGACCAGGGGTCGGGGACGGGCAGAGAGGAGAAGGGCGGTGGAGACCGGGTCTCTGGGAGCATGGAGCTGAGTAGGCACTGACCTTGGCTCCGGGGATCCCTGGTGGCCCTGGGGCTCCCTGCGGCCCAGGGGGACCCTGTGGCAGGAGAGGAGCAGGTCAGTGGTTAGGCAGAGCCTCCCACCATGGGCCAAGGTGCTGTGCAGCGCAGGCGGAACAGGGAGAGGCCAGGAAGGTGACGTGGGAACGCCGTGGGTAGCTGTTCCCAGAGGCCTAAACGCCCAGAGTCTCCCCGTACAGCTGTCCTCACACACCTTCCCCTGAGGGTCTGCGGTGGCTCCCAGGGCCCTCAAGCACGTGTGAACCCTGCTGGCCTTGAAGGCCAAGGGCCACCCTGTGCTTTCAGTTCTGCTGCCTGCTGCCGGCTGGTCCTGAGGAGTTCCTCGGTGGCACAGGTAGGATGGGCTCTCGGGGGCCTGTAGGTGCCTGTCCAGGTTAGGACCACTGGCCATGGCTTCTGAGGCCACACTGCACCCAGCTCCCCTGGCCGGCCAAGCCTGGGTCCTCGCCCCCTCTTCCTGTCCCCAGCCTGCCCTTCCTACCGGTGTCTCCCAGCCTCTGGTTTTACTTCACTTCCTCCCCGCTCCCTGCGTCAAGCCCCAGGCCTGGCACTGGCCTCCCTAGCGGGCAGCTCCCTGCCACTGCCTCTTCCCTACACCACCTCCATGAGCCTCCCCTCTGCTCCGGAACTGGCCTTCCCCAGTCTCTTTTCAAAGACCGGCTATGGCTGCCAGCTGCCATCAGATCAGACCAGTCGGGCACCCAAAATCCTATGAGCTGCAACTCAGGGCTTCTCCCAGAGGCTCCCTGCTAGCCGGGGCCACACATGCGCACACATGCCCCGAGCCCCATTACACCGTCACATGCAGGCTGGCAGCCCATAGTTACCATCACGCGAGCCCTGCGGAGATAGAGGGCGTTGAAACTCTGAGGCTTGGGGCTCAGGTGCCAACACCAAGTGTGGTCCTGGTGACCACTGTGCCCCCACCTAGCTCCTTCCCCTGCCGCCATGAGCAGCGGCCCCAGACACTCCACTGTGGCAGGTCCCAGTTTGCCAGTCACTGGGTGGCCTCCGTGGGCCCCGGGGCTCTCTCGTCCCCTTCACAACTAGGTGGACAGACCTAGCCTCACAGCCAGGGGCCCCTGAGAACGGCCTGGTCACCCGGAAGTGCTCCGCCTCCCGCTTCTCTCTGGCCTCTGCCTTTGGGGAACTTGGGGCTACACCTCCCAGACTGCCAGGAGTTCTCAACGGCACTGGCACAGCTTCAGGCACCCGAAGAAACAGGTCCTCGTGCTAAGCTGCCCCAGCCCCTTGAAGACACCCAGGGCTTACGCTCCCAGGCATGAATACGAGGTGGCACCCGGACCCCTCACCAACGCTACCTTCAGGGCATCCAGGACCCTGCCGTCGTAGTCGATCACCACCGTGTCCCCCTGCTCGCCCTTGAGGCCTGGGGGACCCTGTGGCGGAAGAATGAGAAGTTCAGGGGACGCTGTGCCTGTCACCTGTGGAGGCTCCTGCGGGACATGGAAGGCTGGGCCCTGCCCCCCAACCTGTGCAGGCTGCACTCCTGCGTTCCTGGCCAAGGGCACAGACAGCTGCACTCCTGCACACTCCACGCCCGTCTGGCCAAGGAGGCACTCGGGCCTCCCTCCCCCAGCTGCTCCTGGCCGGGCAAGTGTGAAGGCTCAACCTGGCCAGCCCCTCGCTGGGCCTCTGAGGAAGGACAGCAGCGCCAGCCACATTGCAGCTGAAGGTGCTGCGGCCTGTGGAGCTCGCTGGCTGTACACGTGGCCCACACACGGTGCCCAAGCCAGATCTCTGCCTCCTGTACAGCCAGGCTGGGGCTCAGATCTGATCTTCTGAGGAGAAGTCAGCCCTGGGGCCAAGGGGACGCGGTCACACCTGGTGACACAGCCGAGGACAGGATCCTGGGGTCCGCACAAGGCCAGGTCCCTAGGGCTGGTTGCAAGAGATCAGGGCAGCAACAGTGGTGAGGGGAGAAGGCTCTGTGTGGGGTGAGGAAAGCAAGGTCCACCCCAGTGCATGGCCAGTCCAGGGCCTGAATCTGCTACATGAAGAGGAGGCTGGGAGGGCGCACGGCCACCAGGGAGCGAAAGAACTCTTATTTAGTAACAGAGGGCAGGGCTCTTTACTCTGGCACTCCCACATTTGAACATCTGACCATAAGCAGATGTTATGAAATACAAATATATCAGTGGTAAACAGTTTTTAAGAAGATGCTCAGATCCTGTAGCTCCACTGCCCCCTGTGGTCTGGGGGGTTGGGGGTGTCTGAAGCTCCTAGATCCCAGCTGCACGGCTGCGGCAAGGGAGGCTGCTTACCCGGGGCCCTGCGGCTCCATCCGCGCCTCTAGGGCCGGGCTCCCCCTGCGGAGATGCGAGGTTAGAGCCAGGCATAGGGACCCCCACCCCAGCCCCTCCAGTCCCCTATCCGCAAAAGGCCCAGCCCAGTGTCCTGGGGCCCCAGGGCCTATGCATGAGAAGGGCTCCTCCCGGAGGAGCACCGCAGTCGGAGCAGCACCAGGCCCACAGCCCCTCCACTGGGAAGGCAAAGAGAGGCAAGACTGCACCCCCCACGCCTGGCTGCAGGTGCCAGAGCAGAGTGCTAGCGTCACCTTCAGGCCTGGGGCGCCGTCCACGCCGCTCTGCCCTTGGGGCCCCACACTCCCCGGCTCACCCTGCAATGGAGAGGTGGATGTGAGGCGGGAAACGCGGCCTGGGACCTGCGGTTGAGGGGTCCTGGGGGTGTGCCCTGGGTGGCCAAGGGGCTGTGGCTGCCGCGGTGGGGCCGGCCAGGACCTGGGGACTGCGGCAAGGGGCAGGGAGCAAGGTGTGCAGCTGGGGACAGGGCCACGTGCAGCCACCTAAGACGGGACGATGAGCAGCTGAGGGAACCAGGGCGGCTGGGGCCTGAATGAGCCGGGTTGGCCCACGGCGCCATGAGGGAAAAGGGCCAGGACAGGGACCAGGAAGGTGGTGGCTATGAGGCAGGAAGGCAGGGCCCCCAGGGAAAGGGGAACGTACCTTGGGCCCCGGGGGTCCCGGGAGCCCTGGCTGGCTGGGCGCCCCATCTTCCCCCTGCGGAGAGAACAGCAGAGGCTGTGACTGGCAGGGCTGGGCAGGCTGGCCAGGCCCTTGGTGCGAGTCCCCACGCATTCCCCCATTGCCCTCGAGGGCAGGGGAGGACCACGTCATCTGTGTCCACGGTCCCCAGCCCACAGCCAGCCCAGCAAGTGTCTGCACGGACAGGAGGGAGTGTGAACACGCTCTCACGCCTCAGCTGCTGGGCAGACAAGGTCCTGGCTCAGAAGGAGGTGAGGAGGCTGAGGGACAGCAGTGGTGCAGGTACACAGACAGCGCCGTGTCAGACGTCAGTGCTGGGGCGAGAAGGTGAGGGCGGAAGGACGGAGGTGCGTGGGCGCCATTCCCGTCAGCTCACAGCCTCTCAGCCACTTGGACAGCTGCTTACACCCACTGTGGGTGCCCCACCCTCCAGCCTCTGCTTCCGAGAGTCCGGGGTGGCCCAGAACTCACACTGAGACGGTTTTCAGGGCTGGAGTGGAACCCAGGGCCCTGCGCGGGCCAGGCCAGTGCTGTGCCCTGCAGCTCTGGCCCAGCCCTGCATTTCTCGATCACCCTGAGGCAACGCTGATGCTACTTGAGAAGCACAGTCCTGGCCCTGAGGTGTGTGACCAAGGTGGGGAATGGAGGAGTGGGTGAATACACGGCCGAAGTTCTGCCTCTGCTGAGCCATGAGTCAGGGCAGCCCCCACCACAGGGCCTCGGGGTGCTTAGGAGGGCACCTGCCCTATGGAGGCCCTGCCCTGCTCCCCTGCACCTTCCTGACACCGGCCCAGAAGCTGCTCCCCTGGCCCTCACCTTCTTTCCGTGAGCACCAGGCTCACCTGGAAGCGGGGACAAGAGAGGTGCGACAGGTAGGTCGGAGCTGTAGATGCGGTTGTTTGAACCCTGGTCCCTTCCCTTTGGGGATAGGTGGTGCCAGGGGCCCAGTCAGCACTGCAGAGTCGCACAGCCCTGTCGGTGCTGTGGCCCTGGCAAGCCACTGCTCTGTGAGCAGGGAGGTGACAGAAGCCTCAGGGGCTGCCGGGGGTGGTGGAGAGTGAAGGCCCCCAAATCCCGGCCCCCAGCAGGTGCCACCAAGGGAATGCTTTTCCACCCATCCCTCTCAGCCCAGGGCCCTGCATCCTCCCAGGAGGACCTCAGAGCCCCAGGTGCTCCCCACAGAGGAAGAAAAGAGGCAGCGGATGCCAGAGAAGGCTTTGAACAAGATGCTGTTAAAATGTGTGACTCCATGAAAACTGCACCCAGATGTTGACGACACTTGTGCTTACAATGCCCAAGTCGGAGCAGCCAGGACGTCCTTGAGTGGGCGAATGGGGAAGTGAGCGGTGCTCTAGACAGTGGAGGGGTATTCAGCCCTAACAAGGACGAACTATCAAACCAAGAACAGGTGGGGCAGAGCTCGAGGCGAGTACTAGACACCAAAGACGCCACTCTGAAGGGGCTGCAGGGGGTAAGTCTGCCGCGTGACAGCCTGGCAGGCAAAGCTCCAGGGCAGCACACAGGTCAGTGGGTGGCAGGCACTGGGGATGGCATTTTCAGGCCAGGGGAATTACTCCGTGGGTGCTGCAGTGGAGGACACTTCGCCGCACACTTGGCCAAACTCACAGGAGCCCTGCCGTCAGCGTAGACTTGGGCAGCGTTGGCGTGTCCCACAGGATGCACCGCTCCGCTGTGGGCGTGGGCGTGGGCATGCAAGGGGGGTATGTGGGAAATCGCTACTTTCCACTCAAAAGCTGCTCGAGGCCCAGAGAGGCAGTAAACAGTCCATGGTCACAGAGTGGGATCTCCTAACTCTCTGCCTCAGCTCCAGTGGGGAAGAGGGGGAGGGGGCCCATCCCTCCCACCTCTGAGCAGGTGGAGGGCAGAGGAGCACTCACCTTGGGCCCTGGGGGTCCCTTGGGGCCCTGCAACAAGAGAACAGAAGGTGTAGGGCCCCGTGGAAGGTGCGCCTGGGCCTATCTATGGTCTCTCTAGTCCCAAAGAGGAGGCAGTGGCTGGGGAACGTGTGCTGTCAGTACCGGGGTGACTTCAGGGCTCAAGCAGTGACAAGCGGGCTGCAGACCCCACCCAGGAGGCTGGGGCCACGGGGCTCTGCCTGGGCCAGGTACCCGAGGGCAGAGGGCAGGGGCACAGGTGTGCGCATGCCCATGGGCAGCACGCAGCCTCAGGGGACCGTGGGAAAGGGGCTTCCGGGTCTGGGGCACGGGGCTGGCAGCCGCCTCTGAGGCCCCGCTACTGACCGTCTCGCCGTGCTGTCCAGGCTCTCCCTTGGGACCCTGAGGAGACAGGAGAGACACCACCACTGAGGGCCCTGGGGGGTGTCACATTTAACCGAGCCCCATCTCCCGCCGGGCCAGGCACTGTGTTATCGTTGTGTTCTCACCCTGCCCAGGAGACTGGGGCCATTCCCCCGCCCACAGACGGGAAGGATGGTGGAGGGTTAGGGAGTTACGGGGCCTCTTCCAGGATGAGCAAACGCCCTGACAGGGACCTGGGGACAGGGCGGTGGAGGAATGGGCTCCGAGGGGCACGAGAGGCAGGCTGCTGTCTCGTGAGTAGGGAAAGGGGTGATGGGACAAGGTCTGGCCTTCAGGCTTTGGGTTAGGACTACGCTGAAACGGAGGCTACTGGTCGGTCCGTCAGCCCTGGGGAGAAGGGCAGGCAGGAGAGGAAGAAGGGTTGGGGATGCTAAGGCGCCCTCCATTAGCCCTGGGACTGAGATTGCAACTAAGGTCGGGGTTCAGGACCGCAGGGGTCCGTCTGGGGTCAGAGCTATGTCTGCAGGCAGTTTTTGGAGGTCGGGATAGTCTGGGTAACAGTCCGAGGGGGCACGGGCCAGGGTTTGGAAATGAGCTTGGGGTTAGGGCCTTGACTGGGGTGAGGGCCCAGGTCAGGGTTAGATTACAGACTGGGTGAGCTAAGTGTCTGGGCAGGGTGAGGCGGGGGCTGAGGACAGGATATGGACTGGGGACAGAAGTTGGCTTAGGCTCAGGGTCTGGACTGAGGTGAAGCTCGGTGTAAGGCTCTTTTAGGGTTTTGGTCAGTAAGCACCGGGTCCCGATGCTCTGCCCCGTGCTCTCTCACCGCTGGGCCTTGAGCTCCTCTGGGGCCGTCTTTCCCAGTGTCACCAGGAGGGCCCCGGGCCCCAGGTGGCCCAGGTGGCCCCGGAGGCCCTGTAGCTCCATCTTGCCCTTGTTCTCCCTGAAAGAGATGGGGTTTGGCATGATCCTGAGGGTGAGGGTGAAGGGGTGCAGCTTGCAGGGGGTGCCTTCCTCACCTCCAACCTGGAGGCTCCAAGGGACAAGCTTTGATAAGAGGCCTCTTCCTGCTTCCCCAGAGTCAAAGCCGCAGGGAGGGACAGGTCTTTATACCTTGGCCCCCTGGCCCAGCAGAAGCCTTCAAACCTCAGGCATTGTGCCACCTCTCCAGCGCCTGACGCCCAGAGGAGGAGTCTGGGTGGAGACGACACAGGCTGATGTGGGAGAAAGCACCTGTGTCCTTTCTGCAAAGGACCCGGATCGTCTCTCAGCAGACCTTTCTGGCTGGTCAATTCCTGCCTCATTATTAGAAGGGCAGAGGGGCTGCCTGGGGCATTTATCTCAGGGGAGTGAAAACCCGTGTTTACATGAAAACCTGTTTACAGATGTTCATAGCAGCCTTATCTGCTATAGTCCCAAACTGAAAACAAACAAAATGTCCTTCTGAGGGAAGGGGATTTAGCTCAGTGGTTCTGGTGCCAGGCTTGCAAGCACAAGTTCAATCTCTGCACCCCCCAAGTCCTCCTGAAGGCGAATGGTTAAGAAGCTGTGGTACATTCACATCACAGGATTACTCAACACAAATAGAAAAGAACAGGTTTCTGACACATGCAGCAAATTGGATGCACCTCAAGGGAATCATACTGAGAAAAGCCAGCTTCACAAGGTTATACGCCATGTGCCTACTTTTATGTAACATCTTTGAATGGGAAAATAATCCAGGTGGGGGTTAGTGGTTGCCAGGGAAAGTTAGAGGGATCTACCCAGAGCTGTACAAGGGTAGAAGAAGGAATCCTGGGCAGTGTCACCCAACTCTACAAGTGTGGTAACATCGCACACAACAAAACACACACCTGAACATGCACACAGATGCATGTGTAAAACTGGGGCAATTGAAATTACATCGGAGGGCTGTTCAGTGTCAGCTTCCACGCTGTAAGGCTGTGTACTACCACAATGCAAGATGTCACCGCTGGGGGCAGGCGGATGAGGGGCTGAGGAGTACGTGGGGTGTTATTAAAAATGCTCGTGAATCTACAATTATCTCAAAACGAAAAGCTAAAAGAGAAAGGTAACACCGAGGCCCCAGCTCTTGCAGCGTGTTAGTACCTGGTCAGACCTCAGGCAGCCAGAGCCCTCCACCCCTAGGGAGAACCCGGAAGTGGGAAGCCCACCGTGTGACTGGCACAGGCACGGTCACACTTGGTCACAGGGACTGTGGCTTCCAATCTTGCTGTGAATGAAAGGGGAAGAAGCCTTTTGTGGGCCCAGTGCGGGTGAGCGAGACCCTCCGAGAGCATCTTGATTCCACTGTGGCTGGGGCTGTACTGCCCCATTGGATAGAAGGCCTGAGGCGGGGAACCACAGGGGACGATCATGTACTCAGGGTTACAGAGCAGGAAGGCCGGTCCTCCTCTGACCACCAAGGCAACTGGTCTCTTTTGGACTTTTTTTGGTGCTTATTAGGTTTTTGAGACAGGGTCTCACTAAGTTGTCTGGACTGGCCTCAAACTTGCTACTCTCGTGGCTGGGATTAGAGGTGTGTACTGCTGCACCAGGCTCTTAGATACTTTTTTCTAGCCATGGCTCTGGCTGCTCCTTTCATCACTTAGAGGCCCAGAATTGGGAACCGCTGGCCTGGTCTCTGCTTATTGAAACATCTGAGCAGGCCTTAGGGAGGTGGTTCCAGTTTCTTCCCTGCCCGGCTGGCTCTCCCTCTCTCCGGAACTGGTGGCTGAGGTCTAACCCTGGAAATGTGCAGTAGGCTGGAGCACGGGGGGCACAGCAAACCGGCAGGCCCACGCCCCTCGGCATCTACCTTGAGGACACGGAGACTGTATGCTCGCTGGTCTCTGCTTGTGAAGCCTGGGCTGAGCCGGGGGAACACCATCTAGTCAGCACATGGGTGGAGTGGTCAGAAAAGCCGCACGGCCACCTCTGGAGGCAGAGGCATCTCACCCGTGCAGGGGGGTGATGGCGGGGTGCAGACCAGCTGCACCTATGCCACGGGCTCTTCTGCAGCTGGACCTTGCCGCTCCCCAGCCAGAGCAGGGTCTATTTTTCCACCCCACCGTGGTGGCTGGGCCTGTAGCACGCAGCAGGGCCGATGCTGCCTATCCCAGACAGAGCCTCTGACAGGCCGGGCAGCGCCTGCTCCTGCCTCCTGGAGCACCTGAGATCTCAGAGAGCCGCCTGGGGGTGCAGCCCTGCTGAGTCACACTGCCTGTGACCCTCTGAGGGGCCATTGCTTGGTGTCCAGGACCTGCTGCCGCTGCTGCGCCTGCGAGAGACCCTCCCTGCTCCAGAGACCCTAAACATTTTCCTAATGACACACTGTTGTTCTAAGCCACCGAACTCCACAAATGACGGGCGCACTGGGACAACAGGGAGGAGGCCCGTGGAGGGAGAAGAGCAGCTCTCCCGTGGTCTTGGGACCCGCTGTGGGTGGACATTCCCCTGTGGAAGATCAGCTCAGCCACAGAAACCAAGCAAAAAGCCCTTTTTTCTTTATGTGGCGAGGGGCCCAGGCAAGGGTAGCTTGGTCTGCAGGAAGTCAGCCTGGCCACCCCTTCCCCTGTGACGTGGACCCTACCCTGTCTTCACTTCACGCAAACCAGGCTCAGAGCCAGGAAGGGGTGGTGCTGGGTTCCATCGATCCCGACCACACAGCCCAGCCTGCCCTCTGCCCTGCTGCCTTCCATTCCCCCTGGTGGAGCCCTCCTCCAGCGCCTGCAGGGTACTGGCCTGGTGACTGGCCCCACCATAATGCCCATGCCAAACCTCCCAGAAGGAACTGCTGTGCACCGTGGCCTGGCTTTCTACTGGGCAGCTAATGCCCATCTTTCAGCCTCTGCAGCCTGTGTGGGGCGCAGGGGGTACCTGTCCATGGCTGCTGAAACGATCCTCTGCCCACCTCAGGGTCAGCACGAGGCACTTCCGTGTCCAGGCCCAGGGGGCCCCGAGGGGCAGGCACCAGTGGGCTCGGAGGACACACTGATCTGCCTCCATGCTGGGTGCTGACTTTCAGGCCGTGGTGAATCTTCACAGCAGCGCCGGGCGTTGTGGCCTTGCCCTACCTCCTCAGGTGAGAGGGATTTGAGCAAGGTCACTGGGCTGTACGCGGCAGAGCTGTGCTGTGTAGTCAGACCAGCTACCCTCGCGAAGGCCAGTATCTGGTCTGGAGCAGCCCCACCGGCCGCCACGGTGACAAGCACAGAGACTCGGATGTCTGCCAGAACCTCACCCTCTGTGTGGGGCGTGGTGGCCTCGGCTGGGCCAGGGAACCAGGGCGTCCTCAACAGCAGTCCTGGTGGGGAGGAGGGCAGCCTCACTCGCCCCTTCCCGGATGAGCTACGGGGACGCTCTAGGCGCCATAGGAGATAAGCAAGGGAGTGGGTGGGGTGTGTGCTCCAGTCTTACCCAGGGGCCAAAGTCTCCGGGTGCACCCTAGGGACCAAAACAGGACATAGGTCACCACCACCTTCATTATTTCTGCATGTTTCCTACTGAGCATTTACTCTGTGCTCCATACTTCACGGTTCGACTTAAATCTAACAGAAGCAACAGGCAGGCCCTGTATTTATCTCCATTCCTGATGAGGAGATGGAGGCACAGAGAGGCCAAGATCATGCAGTTAACAGACCCAGAGCTCGGAATTGCATATTTAAAATAAATCTATGGCCCGTTCCTGCAGGGTTTTGCCTGGGACTTAGTGCCGAACAGCAGGGAGTCTTTCTCAGGGCTCAGAGATGGCCTCTGCCACCTGTTCCCCTGGTGGGGTGCCGGCCCCTAAGAGAACCAGGGACAGTCTCGACTCAGCTTCCCAAGCTCTTCCGAGGCCCTCTTTCACCATTAATTTCTTTGGAAACTGGTCAGTCGGAGCAGACCGCGCCTCTGAGTGCTGTTACGCCCAGACCCAACTCCTAGCACGTGATGCGGTCAGTGCGTCTGGTCACCATTCCAGAGGGCGGATTGCCAATCCCACTCTACAGGCAGCTAAACTGGGGCTCCACAGGGGCTGTGACTGGCCCGAGGTCATCTGGAACTGGCACCCTTTATCAGCCTCCCGCGTCCGGACAGCTTCAGCCGTACTTACCTTCTCCCCTTTGGGGCCTGGAAGTCCCTGCAGAAGCAAGGTGGAGAAAGAACAGGCATGAGTGAGGAGAGCGAGGCGGGTCCCCCTCCCAAAGGCCCTCTGCTTTGGCGGCAGAAGGGCCTGCGATGCTGGCAGAGCTTGGGAGGCTGGGAGGCTGGGTGGAGAGGGACACACAAGCCGTCAGTCACCCTTGGGGAGCTGCCCTTGCTGGTCTCACGGAAGTGCCACGCCTCAGTCCTCAGCACGAGGGAGCCGAGGGTCTGGCAGCCACCCCCAGGACCAGCGGGTACTCTCTCACCAGGGACAGGAGCACAGGCCCTAGGCATAGTCCCGCGCTGCTCAGCACACCAGATGCTGGTGAGGAGTCCACCCTGGCACCTACTTACAGTCTGCAGGCTGGGGTTAGACAGAGACCCTATCTCCAGAAGCACACTCCCCTCAAGGGCGGCAGCCCTTCCTCCATCTGTCTTCCCTCCTCCTCCCTCCCGTCCCTCCATCCATCCATCCCATCGCAGTCTGCATCTGATTAACTATTTAACTGTGCATATGTCTCCCTGCGCATCTGCTCATCTGCTGAAGACGCCCGAGGGTCAGAGGTGCTTGGACCGGGTGTTGAGAACGCCTCAGTCCAAGCCCCACCACGGAGATCTTGAGGTGTTCCAGACACTGTGCTTGAGCCTGCTGCAGGAGTCTTCATATGCTGAGAGCTAAAGAGGCACCAGCAACCATACTGTCTACATTTCTACTTGGCTGCGAAATGGAGGGGTGAACGCATCCATTTCAAGGCAAGAAGCCCAAAGGCCAGATGAAGGGGCCATCTCAAGCAGGCAGTCAGTACATGGTGGAGTTGGACTGGAATTCATGTGACAACCAAGTGGTTTATTCATTTATTTTTGCTGAAATCTCTAAACTTCTAATCATAATGCACAAACGCTCCCCAAACCCAAACCTCTAACCTTAACCCTAAACCTAATCTTAATCCCTACCTAACCCTAAATAACCTAACCCCAAGTCTAAGTCAAGTCCAACCCTAACAGTTATGGTTTAGGCCCCAAATGTTCCCCAAAAGCCTCCTGCACGCATAGGTGGGGCTTCGGGGAGGTGAAGAGATCTCAGGGGACTATGTTCACCAACGGCCTGACCTCCTGATGACTACAGGGCTAACCGTGCTTTTCCGGGAGGCCCTTCGGAGGGCTACCTCCATGGCTGCTCCCCCTTCACCCTTGGCTTTCTGGCTGCCAGGCAGTAGGCAGCTCTCCCTAACCATGCAATTCCACCACGCCGTTTCTGGCATGGAGTCAGCCAATGATGGCCCCAATCCTATGAAAACCATATGTGAAAATTAACTTTCCTCCTTTAAATTGTAGGTGCTGGGCATTGTGTTCGTGTTACAGGAAAGTGACTAATACATTAACCATAAACACCAAACCTAAGCCCTAGCCCTAAACTCTAACACTAATAATGTAACCCTAACCTAACCCTAACCCTCTGTCCCCCCGAATGCCCCTGGTCACTCCGAGCCCACGGACAGCCCATCTGGGAGCACACAGGATGTCCTGGTCATCACTTACGGGCTTGCCGTCCAGACCAAGTGGTCCCTGGAGAACGAAAGAGAGCAAAGGTCACGCATGGGAACGACATCCTCTGTGTCTTACGACCCCAGTGCAGTATTCAGCAATGAAAAGGGGAAGCTTTTCCTGACCCCCAGGCCTGTGGACTGGGGAAGGGTCTGTGCGTGTGCAACCCAGCGGCCCCCTCTCTGAACACAAAGCCCAGTTCTTTTCCAAAGACCCCCAGTTTCGGGCAGGCATCCTGGGTGGGTGCAGACCACGTTTCGTGCCCAGGCCACAGCCTCAGGGTTGAGCATGGGGCCCAGGGCGAGCTGTGAGTGTCGGGCCTGAGACTTAAAATGTGATCTAGAGGCGACAGGGGGCTCTTTTCTCTCACTGAGGCTGAGCCTGGAGCTTTGGGGGCCACCACGCAGCTTGAGAAAAGAGCTAACAGAGCAGAAAGCAAAGCTGAGTCAGAGAGAAAGGCAGGACTGGGTCACACGCTGCAGCTGGCCAGCACCCTTCCGCTGGTGAGCTAGGACTGCTTCCTCCCCGAAGCCAGCTGGAGGGGTTGCCCTCACTCAGAAGGAGTCTTGCAGGCTCTGTGAGCATCCTGCGTGGCTGGGCCTTTGCCCAGGGAGGGACTGAGGGCTGGGCCCGCAGAAGGGCAGCGGCGCTCTCCACTGTGCAGGGCCATCAGGAATCCCAGGGGCTCTCCCGCCCACCTGCTGCTCCTGCCATGCCTCACCGCTGCTCTCACCCAGTGCTCCAGGCTGCTCCACCCCCAGCCAGGCTCCCCGGCACGTGCATTCCAGCCACTGCACCCTTAGCGTGTGGTCTGCACCAGCCTTCCCCGAGGCTCAGGAAGGGCGTCTGACCCCGAGTCCCCCGGCTGGGACGGGCCGGCACCAAGCACGTGTCCCGCAGCCACGAAGCTGGAGACAGGCACCGCAGACTCATGTAGACCGCTCCTCCTCCGAGGCCCCCGGGCAGAAGTGTTGTGGCTTTGAGTTGTTTTTAAGTTTTAGAATACAGGATGAATACCCCTCATCTGGAAATCTAAAATGCTCCAAAATCCAAAACTTCCTGAGTGGCAACACGAGGGCACATGGGGAAAACCTGGTCCTGGGAACCTGCAGTTTCACACACATTACCTTCAGGCAACATGAGGAAGCAAAACACGAGCGAGTTTTGTAGCTAGACTTGGGTCTTACAATCAGATGGCTCACTATGTATTTACAAACGTTCCAAATCTAAAAACTTCAAAATCCAAACCACCCGTAGGCCTGAGCATTTCAGGCTGGGGACCCTCTCTCAGCCTCCGGTGCCCACACACAGAGAGATGCTGCAGGTCCAGGACCCAGGCTACTCCCAGAGTCCATCTCTGCCCCGGAGCCTCGAGGCTGTTTTCTGCAGTACTTAAGCAGTTCTGTGCATGAGGCTGGGGGGTCACTCAGTGGCACCACACTTGCCCAGCGTGCGGATGCCGGCTGCCGTCCTGGGGGAAGGCCTATCGGCTTTGGGCCAGCCCAGGGCGGACTAGAGAGAGCCGCTCTGAGTTACTGGGTGCTGGGATCCTGGGCCCACAGGCCTACGGCCCCGGCCCGGCCTCCTCCCCGCTCCAGCATGTCCCGCATGGCGTCTCCACCCGGCCACCTCACCCGGGCCGGGCCCTCTTGGCTGCCACGATGTGCGTGGGGCCTCTTCTGGGAGCTGGTCGTGACCACGCACTTGATGTCATCAGTGCAGCCCCCGTGAGATGGGTGGCGTCAGCTTAGAGGAAACTGAAGCTGGAGGATGGGAACACCCCCCCTCCCCCGCCACCGCTCAGGGCCAAAGCCCCCGGGCCACACCCACTTGCTCCCCGGTCTGCCCGCTTGCCTCTGTTGGTTTAATTTGTTATCTCTGTTGTGCTGCTGTGGATGAGCCCAGGCCCTGGTGTGCTAGGCAAGGGCACGCCCAAGACCCAAACCCTGCCTGCTCTGTGACTGTCCCCGGTGGGACCGTGGTAGTGTGAGAAGCCCCTGAGGTGATGGAAAATCAAGTTTCCCACAGAGGATTCTGCCTGTATTCTGGCTTCCAGGATGCAGGGTTTTACAAAGGAGAACAGAGTTGGGCATGGTGGTGCACACCTGTAATGCCCGCACTCAGGACGCTGAGGCAAGAGGACCGCTGTGAGTTCGAGACCAGCCCGGGCTACGTAGTAAGTTCCAGGGCAGTCTGAACTATGCAGGGAGACCCTGTCTCAAAAGAAAAAAAAAAGAGAGAGAACAGAGGGCCGTGGATTTAGCTCAGTGGTGCCATATAAGGACCTGAGTTTGATCCCTGCTAAAAAAAAGGAAAAGGAGAACAGGGCAGGGTGTAGTTCGGAGTTCAGTGCTCACCCAGCATGCATGGGGTGCTGGCTCGCATGCCCAGTACCCCAACAAGCGACAGATGAAACAGAAAACAACCAACCCTCTGAACAAAAGCAAACAGCTTGCAGAGCAGGGCAGGATGTGGGATAAACAGAGCTCTTAGCAGGGCCTGTGCGGGGCATACGGCCTCAACTTCAGTGCTGCCAGTGCCAGGGCCAGGAGCCGGTGGCGGTCCTCCTGTGACCAGCACTCCACGTCTGCCTGTGTCAGTAGGAACAGGAAAAAGGGGCCCGGGGTCTGGGTCTGACCTTTGGTCAGCAGAGGTTGATCCAGGCCTATCTTTTTTCCTCCTCCAGTACTGTGGATTGAACCCAGGGCCTTTTCACTGAGCAACACCCCCAGGTCTCTTTTATTTTTTATTTTGAGACAGGGTCTCACTAAGTCACTGAGTTGTCCAGGCTGAGATAGAACTCAAGATCCTCCTGCCTCAGCCTCCCAAAGTGCTGGGATTACAGACATCCTCTATGCCTGCCTCTCTGGGTCCAACTTGGATGATACCTGGGCAAGAAGGCTATCAGGAATTCTCTGAAGGGATTCTGTCTGGGTCCCTGGCTGAGCCGCAGAGAGGCTGCTGGGGGCACAGGGCCCCCTGGGGAGTGGACCTGCTCTGCTGTCCCAGGACAGGACTCTGAGCTCCCTGTCCTGGGGTGGCCTGGTGAGAAGAGGACCCAGTTGTGGCTCTCAAGAGGACAGACCCTTCGTACATTCACCAGCATGCTGTCCCATGGTGCTTGGAGGGGGTCCCATGGTGAAGAAAGCCTGGGAAGCACCGGCACCCTGCGAGGCAGCCTGGTCTCTGCCCTTTTCCGCCCTGCGACTCTCCAGGAGATCAGGCCCCCGTCCCAGTCTGGCTTCGTTTTAGCAAAGCAGAAGACTTGCAGGCTGTGTAGACGGCTGCAAACTGGGTGGCTCTTGGGCTGGCGAGCAGAGGGGGCTGGCACTGGGCACTCTCTCAAGAGGGTCAGCCCCAGCCAGGCCCAGGTGGACTCAGGTGTGGTCAGCCTGGGCCAGGCTGGGGCGGTGGATGGGCGCACGAGGCTGTCTCTCCCGGCAGAGCGGCTCCTGCCCCAGACGTCGGGGTGTTCCAGCAGCTGCTGCTCCCCTCCCCTCCGAAAGAGCAGCAAGAAGGGAAGTAGCTCCAGGCAGCTTTGCAGCCCGCAGGCCTGGGTCGAGTCCTTTCCGCCGCTGGCTCTACAGACACGGTGGCACCTTGCCTGTACGCACCTGGCCCCGCCGGCCCCGGCCCTGCCTGATCAAAGCTTCAGAATCCACCGGAGGTTTTCATCGCCTTCTGCCCTCCGTGAAGCCCACAGCTGTTCACAGGCCTCACTCTGATGAAAGTTGAGACAGCCGGCCGGGGGGGTCGTTTTTGGACGTGGGAGAAGCCAACAAAGCCCTGCTCGTGTGTGAGGGAGGGAGAGGCAGGCAGAGCCCACGCGGCACAGGCGCCCCTCACTCCGGGCCCTGCGCCTGTTCCTTGCTCTGAGGCGCGGGCCATGTGACCTTCACAGTGACAAGTCCAAGCAGCGTCCCCGCTGTCCTTCTGCTTCCAGACTGACAGAAGCGTGGCCCCTCAGCAGGCCAGCTGACACGCAGGGGTCTGCCCGACCCTGGAGGGGCGGTGGGGCACCAGGCTGTGCTGCCCCGTGACACCCACCACCCTCCCTGCAGTGCCTGCTGCGCTTTCCCCGAGCGAGGGGCTGCAGAGCCATGGGGAAGTGAGCAGGCAGAGGGCCTCAGCAAGCAGCCCTCCCAGTCCCCCACGAGGGCCAAGGCCCAGGCAGCCCTTGAGCTTCCTGCAGCTGGACCAAGGCAGGGACAAAGGTGGGGGCGGGAACGAGGCCTGGACTCGCCCTTCCCACCGGGGCTCAGACCGGAGACCAAACCTCACGGACAGTGTGCCGGAGCCCCGGCAGACTCGCTCTCTGCTTGTAATTACCGCTGACAGCTCCCTTTGAGACTAGAGCCCTTGAGATGCACTGGGCCAAAGCCCCTGGAAGTGAGGCTTACCAGGATCATCAGGCCAAGGCCTGGTAACTAGACCCCAGAGGCTGACAAGTCATCGAATTCCAAGGCTGCTGGGACTCGAGGTCCCAGCCTGAGAAGCCTGCATTCCTGTGTGGAGCTCCCAGCCTCTGCCCCAACCTTCCTTTGGGCTGGCGGTGGGTACAGTTCTCTGCCGCGCTGTCCCCTCACAGCCCCTGGAGGGCTCAGCACTTCCCAAATGCAGATCGCTGCCCTGGCACAGGCCCTGTGCTCAGAACCGGCCCAGCTGCAGCCTGTGCCCGAGGGTGGCCTGTACCCCTCCCGGGGATTCCAGGACTTGGGGGCTCTATCAGAATGGGCCCTGGCTCACCCACTCACCCCAGCTCCTAGTAGGCTTAGAGGCCCTGCCAGGCAGGGTCCTGAGCCTGCGCCAGACCAGGCACCTACCCTTCCCTGCCGCCTGACCTGCCAGCACCTCTCTCTGCTCATCTGGAAAGTGAGGGCTGACTCGGAACTACCTTCCTGCAGGGAGGTTATTTCTGGTTCAGGAAGTTAAAGAACAAAACAAGAACCAACTGAATCAATTGCAAAGTTGAAAAATGGTGACATTTCCCATCCACATCCAGGGTTTACATTTTCTTGAGA